AAGCATGGAAGAAACTACAAGGAAGAAGGAGCACTTCTGACGATCAAGCTCTCAGTTATATCTGTCTAACCACTGCTGAAAGCTTAAGTAGTTTTTATATTGCTATACGAGAGAAAATTATTTCTTGAAGATATTAGCGTCACTTTCAATTTACCTTAACAAGACGCTTGCAGTATCTCCTTTGCAAGCGGCCTGGGAAGCGACACCTGTTCAACAGCCCTACAATGCAAAAACCGCCCCTAAATTCTGCTGCCCTAAACAGCCGTTGCGGCTTCCTATATCAGACCAGATCCACAGCGCCTCTAGCACCACAATCACCTCTTGCACCACAAGCCCGCAGTGCTGTCAATCTTCTCACTTCCCCAATTGAGTCAATAACTCTATTTACAGCCCCTTCGTGATGTACGGAACTTCGGTGCGGCAGCATCCTGCACATTTGGCACAATTACAAGAATTCCTGTCCAGTACTTTGTCTTTACATTGCTAGGCCATAAAACTCATTCTCATCAGCTTTAGCCTTGTACAACCACAAACACAGACTATGTTGAGTGCGAGCATCGGAGTGGGGCGACCGAACTTTCAGGCTGGAAGCTTCAACCGGTGCTACAGCAAGCCACACTGGAAAATCCAACCGGTGTTGCAGTAAAAATTTGCAACACAAGATTATGGATAGCACGTTATCAAGCAGCAGATCCTTTTGCTCTATTTTTCTCTGAAGCTTAGGTGTTTAATTAGTGTTTTTCTCCAATTGAAAACTTGCAAAGAGACCGTAATCGCATGCAATGTGTGGATGTCAAGAGCTCGTTCAAAATTAGGGAACGCCGAAAACTCGAGAGGAACGTAGTGTCCGACGAAGTCCCCGCCAACTGCTTCTTTGCTCTTTGCTCATGTAAATTATATGGTCGCCTTGCGTTAGCCATTCAGATTGGGCGAGATGCATCCACATTCAGGGATGAAACGACACCAGGGGAATTCTGAGCAGTTGTGTGAATCTGCAGGAGAAGCCGGCCCCCTCCAAATACCCTCGAGCAATGCAGAACTTTTCTGCGCATTTACCAACCGCATTTGCCAACCGCGGCTTCTCTCGTAGCAGTTGCAGAGCAGGCTGTAGGTGCTTCAAGGACTCCTGGAGCGCTCGGCCAAACATGACCGCGCCGTCTACGTCTAGAACTATCCCTATTCCCTTTATTCGGCACAAAAACTAGTGATCGACTTGAATTTACCCTTTTTCAGGTCCTACAAAACCCAAAGTACATGCAAGTCTGCTCTACTTTGCGACTTCTGGTAAAAAGCAGTCTTCTGACTCCCTGTGTCTGGACCCATTCCATTCTGCAGAAATTGCCACACTCCTCACCGTAGAGGACGCATATACTCTTGGGGGCCTTAGTGGGAATTACTACCCATTATTTCAAGTTTTGCAGGCCTCAATGGCGTTTGCGATATATGTGTCATTCAGTGGAGCCACCGCGCAATTGTAGCTCTACGGATGCTTGCCGGAGGCAGTACAGCGCTCATCGGCAGGGGTGAAGACATTCTTCGTGAACTGCCTTGCTGTATAATTAGTCTCCACTTGAGGCGACGCTCGATTCAACTGAGTGAGGCTCACAAAAGTTGGTCGCCTCGCTACAAGAGGGCAAATTTGGAAGTGAAAGACTAGTTGTTGACAAAGATGTTTGGGGAGTTTGAAGGAATATTTACGTGTGCATTTATATTTTGAAGCACCTCTGGTACTGTTCACAGATCTGCAACATGTTGTAGAGGTGAGGTTCGTTGTCTGCACCATCCGCGTTAACCGTGCAATGTTACCAGGTACGCGGCTCCTCTTTCTTATCGATAGAATACTTTGAGGTGCACTAGGGTGAACATATTTAAGAAGAGGATTTTTTGATGGCCGGTGGCATCCCCCGAGTCCCAGCGTGAAACATAGTCTGGGCGATGTTGACATGTCTGCCGGAAGTGTGTTTGGACAAATGAATCCCTACCCTTCCCTATAAGACCAACGGTACTCAATCAAGAGTTGTCAACTGCTGCCTATATGCTGCCTATAGTGTCTGTGCATACATCCATGAAGGCTTGCATTTGCTAGCTTGTGGAGATGCCTTACACTGCTAGATGTAGCAGGTGCCTTGCAACTGATGGCAAACCGCCCCCTCTCCCGCAGCTTCAAGCGGTTGAACCCCTGCTCTCAGGGAACATGGAGACTGTGGAAATAGGTCAACTGGTTTTCGGCAACTCGTGTATTTTGGTCCCACTGCAACACTCAATACTCCTCGGAAAAAATCCAGGACAGACGCAAGAACAGGAGGAGGGTGTCTGCTGTAACGCGAAGCAGCCCAAGTGCCTGAAGGTGTGGAAGCGGAGACAGCCGGCGATGGATTGCAACTCACGTTTCTGCAACACCATGTGCATGACAGCAGTACATACAAGCACCCACAGGCCCTCCTGACTGTATGCATGAGCAATGTATAACACTGTTGAGAATCCCTATTCCTGTACTGTTCTACTATTGCCAGGTAAGTGTCCCTGGGCCAGATTCGGAGAGTATTGAACCAGACAGGCTGTACAACACTTGACAGGCTGCCTCCTCTCCAGCAGCAACAAGAGGTTGGTCTTCTGTCGCTCGCTCTCCTGCAGTCTAAGCAGCGTTGCCACCTGCTTTTTAGGGACCTGTGACCTATTGGCTCCATTGCAGCTAGTAATAGTTGGATTTAGCTCAGGGACCTCCGCTATGCAGGAGCCCCACCGTCTGGTGCCATGGGAAAGTAGGTGGCCTGCCATGATATGCAACCGACCTTGCTGCAGGCATTACTGCAACGCAAATGTACCCCAAAATAAGCCATCCTTTGCTGAATGCGCAAAGCGTGCAACGACAGAGTGTCCTTCCTCTTGTGTACTATCGCCACGTGTGGGTTCATGCGCCAGCTTCAGACACGCCTAAATAATGCGAACAGACTTAACAAAGTCAAATAGAATATGCCAGAGCACGAGCTGCTGCAGCTCATTAACACCCCCTGCGCAGACAGAGGGCCCTCGTTGCCCGAACTATCCATCCGCTGAACACTCAACCTATCCGATGGAACTTGTAATATTTTCACATTAAAGTTCTGCAATTTATTTAGAGTTACTTAGCTCTGCTATTAACGCAGGATATACCGTGTACTAGCCTAGACCGACCCTCGCATCCCGGCCATATTGCACTCTACAGGCCACACATTCCTGTCAGGAGGTAATGGTGTAATGATGCCCACGAGGCACAAAATGACCTCATTTGCTTCAAACTTTGCGTGTTTGCTAATCCTACAGGAGCAAATGTATACTGTCTTGCCCTGCAGTTGTGGAAGAGCACCTCCCCTCAGGTAGTTCTCCACACACCCAATGGACGGGGCTGGGGGGGCAACAGACCCATTCGAATCTGTAGGAATGATAATTGTTTGCAATGTTGGTGACTGACCTATTTAGGATGAACAGATCGTGGAAGGTTATTGCTTGTGCCGCTTTCACGTAAACGCCCTTTGCGTTGTGGGAGTCTTGTCCCAACCCATACAGGATCAAGCATAATTTAGTAAATTCCATAGTGGAGGCGGGAACATCTAGCAGTCGACACAGGGAAGAAGAGACGGGCAAGCATTTTGGGCCAAGAAGTGGGAGAATGGTGTTTTGGAGGAAGAAGGCAGAGGCGGCAGCAGGAGGCATTCCAGGAAATGAGGATAACCGAATTGAGCCATGGAGGAAGGGATATGCTGGATTTGGTTAGAAATGCAAGACAACGTGTTCCTGTTGTGTTTTCTTGTGTTTAGTGGCGGTGCCTCTGCAAATGTAATTTTAGGTAGTTGTGTTTGGAGTGCAAGGGCATGCTTTGTCTTGTGGAATCCGTCTGCCTTCAGGATCCCGTCTGAGCTCAACATTGTGTTGGCTCACTGCCTCGTCCCTCTCATTTGCGGCATTGACCGTTCCAAGACGGAAGGAATGGCGAGCAACGGAATCTAGAACCTTAAAATCCTGACCATCTTCGCAGATTATCCCTCGAACCCATAGTAGGTGGCATCGGTAGCATGCCGGGGTTTAATGGTCTCTCATTGTTTGCTTGGGGTGTGTGTTCCCTTCAGGGTTGATATATGCCTTGACTACATGTATGTAAAGCGCACGCAGTACGCTCCCAACATGTACTCTTCTCTGTATCGCTGGATGAAGACTGTCCCGAAGTAGGGAAGTACTAGCGGGGTTCATTTCTTTCATCATAGAAGGGACTGGAAGGAAAAGTCGCCCTATCTCCTGGCATACTTACAAAGAAGTCTGGGAAGGGAGTACAGCAACCACCTCATTGTGTTGTTGGGGAGAGACGCGGCTTGCCTGTCTCCTCGTCGGAAGTATGCGCAAAGGGATCTTCGCCCATTTTTTTGAGAAGTCATCGATACCCCCTCGATTTCAAGGGTGAGGGGCATCGCTGTGCCTCACTGCTCGAGTTTCCCCGGGTTGGTGATACAGATGCTGCAGGTTTGGGGGGTCTGGCCACCTGCAGAATCGTTGACCTGCCCCAAGTGTCGGGTGGAATGGACACCAAGGCAAACGCAGTGCAAGCGGCAAGCGTGCCCCACAGCTTGCTAGTTGTGCCAAGTGCCGCATTTATAGGGCCAACTAGAGCCCGTTCCACACACCAGAGTCATTTTCTATTCATACCAACATAAATTTCCACTGGATGTGCCAGTGTTGCCAAAGATTTTGAAGTTCTTTGCATTCAATAAAGACAGGCATGCCCGCTTTCGAAGTGTCCAGACAGGTAGACACAAACGACTGGGGGGTAGCAAGCTTTGCATCAGTACGCGTGCTAGGTTCCAAGGAACCACTGGAACGCCGCTGTCCTCCCGTCCCTTTTCGCCGACCCACCCGTATTGAGCTGCAAGTGAATAGACTACGCATAGCTCCGCGCACATTAGAGCCCTGCACAATAGAGGCCTTTTTCAACCTAAAAAGTACCCGGGAAGGAAGCCCTGCTGCCTTCACTAGGAATTAAATCCCAAGGCATGCAGCTCCCTCTCACAGTCAGCAATGCGCCCTTCAGCAAGTCGACCCTTGTGTCTCTCTGCGCAGCAGCCCTCATATGAAAAGAAAATGCCGCATGCCTGTAGTAGACATTCACGAGCCTGGAGTGCTAACTTGGCCCTCGTTTCGGAGACCCTCTCATCATCGAATGCTTCTACGCGGGCCATAGCCCCCATTGCACCTTCGGTCTCTGCCATTATAGGGTCCCCTCCGGCCCACAGCGACCAGGCATGGGCAGCCTCCTCCTCAGTATCTGCTTGGGAGAGGAAATGCAGGAGAGAGCCTTCAGTGAGTAGGTGGTCTGCATGTTGGGTGCTGCACCGGCCGTACAGAGCTACAGCAGCGCGGGAAAGATGCTGGGAAACCGTCAGCCCGATGCCATTGTAAAGGGCAACAAACCCCCTGCAAGAACGGCTAAGGCTTTCCGCAATATTCAAAAGGAACAAATTTCCGGGATGTGCATATTGCCGAACTACAGAAAACAACTTAAGGGCGGCCCTTCCCTCCACCTCAACAGCCTCACTTTGATCCGTGCAAGAAGCTTGCGCTAGGCGCTGGGCGCTTTCCTTCAACTTCCTCATAAACTCCACTACGCGCACAACGTCCCCTTGTTCGGAAGTATCCCCACACGCGCAGCAGCGAATGACGGGCGGAGGCGGCGCCACAACTGTGTGACCATGAGCAAGTGCCGATTGTTGCAGTTCTTCAGGAATGAGTGTAATACTTGTGTTTCCTTGAGAGGAAGACCCCCGATTCGGCGCTTGCTGTGGCGGACGATCTCCTGTAGAAAGTTGCACCGGCTCCCACAAGCCCTCCCCTGGTCTCTGCATGCAAAGCACCGGCAGATGCAACCGCCGACGGCGGGCGGCCCCTTCTGGTCCCCTAGGATCTGCGGTATGTACGTAGGTGCTGGATAATCCGCCGTTAGGCTCGTCATTAGGTGCCTTTCCACGACGGCAGAAACTGTTGAGATATTCCCGGTTGGCATTTTCTAAGCAGAGAAGGACATTTGCCTTTTCTGTACTTCTTATCGAAACGCACGGGGCCCTCGGACAAAAAACAGCACGCAACTGCAAATCAAACGCCTCCGCAGGAGAAAAAGAAATGGAACAAGGGTGATGCCCCCTTTTTGTGTTCTTGTTGCTGCTGTTGCTGCTGCATCTGGAAGGAATTTTCGTGCTGGTTTTGTCGCCTTCGCTGCTGAACTCACTGCTGCCACTGCAGTCGTGGTTTCCACGGGTAATGGCATTGCTGCTGCTCGTATAATCGATGCAACAGCAGCAAAGTACGCATGTGCAAGTAAATGCATATGCAAGATACAGCTTGTTACGCCTCTCCTGTCGCACAGCGGCGGGAGAAACGTAAGAAATGCAGACCTCTTCGCCGCATAAAATAGACCTTGAGGCAACAACAGCCATTTCCAACGGCCCCTGGGCCCCTCCAAATACAATGGCAGCATTAGGGAAGCAAGAATGGTTAAATCGACACAGCGGCTGGCCGTACAGCCCAACTGCCACTTCCTTCCCTGGATCGCAGCAGGGGCAGGCCCTTGGAGGGCAGTCCCCGGAGAGCGCATGAGCCCCGGAATCCCCAGAAACTGTTATAGAGTGCACATTTGCAGAGAGTCGATCCACAATTGCTTCTAGTTGGCCGGGTCTAGGTAGCGCAGGCAGTCCCAGAGACTGCAGGCCTCCTTGCAGTCCCTCGGCTGAACGCAGCAGGCCCTCCAAGAGGGCAGCAGACGCAGCGCATGCGTTCAGGTGGTCAGAGAGAGCAGGAGAACGGGAGCAGTGTCCTTTCTTGGTGCACGTGCACGGGGATGCAGCACTAAGCTCAAAGTTAGTAGCAGCCGTCGCTACTGGAGCTGCTGCCGCTTCGGTTCCCGATTGTCCTTCTGCTGTGGAGTGCCCACCAGCGAACTCTTCAAGAGAGATACCATTAAGCAACAGCCGCAGAACCAACCGTTGGGTTAGATTTGGGCCTCTTCCTCTGGAAGCCTTCCTCACATCTGACAGCATCCGCAGCAGCATCAACAGATCCGTGATCAAATGAGATAGTGCGCAGGCACACCCGGGACATCTTCGCCATACCTAAAAGTAAATGTTTCCTTATCCTGTATACTAGTGTGCGGCCCCCATATGACGCTTGAGAGACCAATGATGAAGAATGTGAGCTGGAATATCCTGGTTTCTTCCCTAACTTACGGTTGAATAGGGCGCATTCTTTTTTGTGTCGGCTCCACGCTGATCGCTGGCAGTCTGTGCTGCAGTAGGAGACCACCTTGCATGCGCTGCATCGCTTAGCTACGGCCCCAGCCCCCTTTTTTGCTGCTGGGTAAATGTTGCGACTGTGGTCATAGGCGCAGAGGCATCCGTCGCAGGAAGTGACTGCAGAGCGATTAGTGCTAGTACTACCAAATTCGTTGGAAGAGCGCGTTGGGGACAGTGGCTCCTCCGATGCACATCCATCCAAACCCCATGGGCAGTCCGGGGCAACACGTGCAGACCAGACCAGAGGAACACTTTGTCGGGCTAGCAGCGTACCCGCTTTTATGAAATCCGCCGCCACAACCCCTGCTCCTCTGCCGCCACCTACATCCGGGAGCACCCGAACCAAAGGGGACAGAAAACACTGGGGTTCACCTGGGGAAACCATGGTTTTTCGCGTTCTCCTGGCGTTTCTGCAAGGGGAAAGTGGCACAAAATTCCCTGTTCAAGGGGTGAAGTAGGAGAGACGTCCCCTTCTGGACTGATCACGTTGGAAAATGGAACCAAACGGAGGCATTGGGGGAAGATGACATCACGGGAACTACTTTTTCGCTCCCTTGCTTAGTGTTGACCACAGAAACTTCTTGAGGTCGCCGCCGGAGCGACGAACCCCGTTTCGCCGAGCATCTGCAGGGGTACCGCTGATGAAAGTAGGTCACAAGTGTTATAGGATTCCATTAATGTTCAACTGGAGCTACAAAACCAATCTGCTTCTGTTGACAACCGACAGCTCTCCCACAATCAAGGTTAAGGGCCCCCTGCCCCCCTCCTAAACCACCCCCCATCCCGGCTCCACAAACAGCAGCCAGGGCCCCTTCGCCTCCTTTAGCCCCAAAATTGTCCAGATAACGACTCTTTCCAACAAATGCAGAAGTTGTTCGTTTATTTAGCTATTAGACGGGACATTTGCAGTCTGTTCATCGGGACATTCGAGTTGGGCAGATCTCTGGACAGGTCCTCTAACTATTGCTTCCCGCTGTCTCAATGGATCGGGACCTGTGGTCGGCACTGTTTTCAAGTGGGCGAGCTCAATAAGCTGTGTAGCTCATTGCATCATTCTTCTCCTTCCAATGAGGCTTCTTTCGTATCCTCCAAACAAATTTAGATGCCTATAACACCGTCCATAGTGTCCCTGGCGTCTACGACGGCTGCAGGACATCTCTTCTTCGCAGCTCAGCCTCAACATCAGATTGTGGTCCAGCTCCTGGCTCCTGCAGTACATACACAAGCCGCTTCCTATTCGTCTGCTCGACGTCTTGGCCCCGTGCAGGGGTGCCGACGGGGCGCTTTCCCCGGCTGTTTCCGGCCCTCCCGGGGTACCGTCCCGCCATCAGGGTTAACGCTGCCTCCAGGGTTAACGCTGCCTTCAGGGTTAACGCTGGACACATTTAGTGACGCGTTCCTTTGAGCGTAGAGGAGAGCTGGACACAAGGAAACTTGGTGTTACGAAGAGCTAGAGGCTGCAAGATATGCTCTGCTGCCCACTAAGAATGCCCGCTACCACCTCTAATCGTGCGACAATGGGGTGCCAGTGTGCTGATTCAGACAGCCGATCAGATGAAGCCTCAGAAGCTCATCGCAGTGCTGCTACTGTGTTGGGAAGAAATCCTTACCCGCATGCTTTTCTGGACTGTCACAGGGGGCTACCGCTACTCCTGCTGCTTCTGCTTCTGTTCGCGCTAGGTCTACCTGTGTCTGGGAAGTACTCATTTGACGACATTGAGATTGCGGGAACAGCAGATGTGTCACTTCCACTTCCCCGTCCCTTCGACGCAACTGCCTGTTCTTTCCATCACCTAGCACAACAGCAGAAGCTGCTTCTTGCGCTGCAGCAGTTGCAGCACGCAAAAAGTCGCCCTTTGATACAGGATGCACAGGTGGAGGCTCTCATTAAGGCCAGTCTGTCTGGGCTAATCACTGAAGAGGTATAATGCGAGAAGAGAAGCCTTGCTAAGTTCCCCTATTCTTGGGCTCATGCAGTGCTGCCGCTCTGCAGCTGACATGCCCAATGCTGCATGCCTGCGTCTCTCTTATAACCCGTGCTTAATATATATGCTAAGTGCGAATGCTTCTTGTTATGACATCTTGGTATTTACATGTGTTCGCCGTATTCACAGGCAGAGCGATTTATCAAATTCGGCCGCCAGGCGGAAATAAGTGTGAAGCTGAAATTCACTAATCGGGGGAAGTCCCCTGTCTCTTCCGTATTTATATTGCTGCCTTACTCTGAGGCCACGCAGGTATTAATAAGGTTTCCTGAAGTTTTCTATGTAGAGGCTCTATCTAGTTTTTCGCCTGTACCCCGCCCCAGCAGCATAAGCAACGAAGAGTGGTTCTGGCCTATTGCATGCGTTTTCCGGAATCTCTTCAGCTTGGATGGATAACTGCATCCGGTCAAAAAGGCAAGCAACTGGAAGTGCAGTCTGTGCTCCCCCCACTCCCAAGCATATCTACTCTCCGGTGGGAAGACTGGGGGCTGAGGCCGCTGCTCTTAGAGCAAACAGAACACCACCTCAAATCGGCGAGCGACGGGGGAGGCAACTCATTCGTCTCCCCCTGCTGGCCACACATATTTCGTTTGCAACTGCAAGAGGCTCTACCTGTCTCCGAATCTACGACTCTGACGGTGTCTTACGTTCTTGGTTAGCCACATTCTACCCCCACTCCAGGTCACTGCGTATGTACATTTAGTTTCAGACCCCTCTTAAAGGGCCTGCACAACGTCTAAGGCATGTAGGGCGGCCCCCGTATATTGCTGCTGTTTGCTCAACTTGCGGATACAGTCCGCATGCGCCCCTAGTGGCAGTCGTACCTCGTGCTGTTGACAGATTTACCGCTATATCTGGGGAGACACGCCTGTTGCTTTTCTATGAAAACACATGGACCATTCGCCTTATTTCTTCGGTTCAAATACCCTTTCAAATTCTCAGTGTCCCCCCACTTGCTGCTTTTGCAGGCCGTCCATACCGCCCTGTGCCCCGTACCCTAGACCTTGAGTCGATTCAGTCTGTGCTGTTCGCAACCTCTTCTAACTGGCCTCTACCCTACAAGACGCTGCGGAGCACTCTATCCCTACAGCTTCCCCCACAAACAACTCTTGGAGAGGAAGGCGAGCGACATATGTCGCAGGTGAGGCTAAGATACATAGCATAAGGATTATGACGAAGGGACTGCATGGAACCCCACAGGATGCGCTTAACTCAGGGCATATTGGCCTTTATAGCATGCGATTTGTCAGCAATAGGGGCGTCTCAGAAGTGCACGAACCAAGCAGCCAGCATAGGATTGCATATAGCCTAAAGCTGGTGTGTATTTTAAAGATGGCGCATGTTCTGACGCTAGCGAAGAGGTTTTTCTGTCTTCTCTTGGCATGTTCGTAGTACAGTATTTGCGGTAGCTGTTGCTGGTTTTGCTTTTGGGACCTTAGAAGTCATTCCGTAAGCTGCCGGGAGAGATGTGGAAGTGGGAGTCTACCGATCCCATCGATCCCCTGGAGATCATGCAGCCATTTGCTGTCATATTTCCCCTACCTCAACATCTCGGCTATGTCTTAACGATGGAACGGTTGCTGGTCGTTCCTCTCAGCGGCACTGCGGTCTGCAAGGACCTCTATAAAGTCCACAACGACGCTGCACTGCAGGAGGTAAGCCTCTAAGCGATAATTCCGCCAACGATTAAGCTAGATGCTTGCAATTGCCTTAGAAAAAGTGGGGGGCGATTCGCGCGAGACATAACCGAATATCCTGTAAATTGTCCAATGCGAATGTCTACATAGAGTTTCTCGGCGCTTGCTAAAAGTGTGCAGTCCGCTGTGTTTGGCGTTGACGTGAAATGCCTGCTCGCATCGTTTGAAGTTGTTTGTGGGCTTCTTCAGGGTGCATTTAACCCTGTCACAATCGCGCTGTTGCAGGGCCTGCCGCCAGGCATTTCTCGCCTAGCTGCAAAAGGCAGGGATGTTCCACGAAGCGAACGTGTACCGACGCATGTCTTGTTTGATTTGCATGCAACACTCCCGCCGGATGTCTTCAACCTGGATGTGGGGGACTCAGCAGGGAACTTGACCAGCACTTTCGCATCCCGCTATGGTCCTCAGGGAGCTCGTCTATCCACGCACCTCGAGGTGATCAAAGGTAGCCGTTACAAAAGCTGCCGCCGCTGTTCAACCCAGGCTCTGCTCTGCTTGAGGCTAGTTTTTAAGCTAAATCCACATGATGATTGTTTTTGGTGCCTATCGTTCCTTTCGCCTGCCTTTCCGCGACGGGGAGAGGACTGCAGTATCTTTTTGTTCCCTCAACTCTTGAGTATCGACAAAGGAAGTGTTTGAACCAATGCATTTTCGCGATGCAGCCAACCAACCACACCATTTCGAAAACAATCTTAGCAATCGTAGCAGGTTGGCACTGGGTGGATGGGGTTCAAGATGCATTCTTTTAATTGCTCCGCTGCGCAGGTGTGGCCTCGATTTCCAGTGCTTGGGGGCTGGAACTTCGATTTGAAGGTGTCCTATGATATGCCAGTTAGCTCTTTGATATTGCAGCACGGGGTCAACGGAGGCAAAATCTCCCTGAACATTCCTCTGGGGCCGCCTTTCCAGGATTTGTATGCTGAGTATATCTCCCTCACCGTAGCGCTGCCAACAGGTACTGATACTTACGAGTGCAGCGTCGCTTCGTGGAATGTGTATGTGTGTATACTTTTAAGGATCACAGTGTTGTGGGTGGGGGCTGTGCTACTGAATGGCTTCCGTTTGTGTCAGGCGCTATTAACATTCGGTATTCGTCTACAGTTGAGTTTGAATATGTGGAAGAGACGACGGTAAAATGGTGGCTTGACGTTGTAACATCGCGGCCAGCCTTGAGGCTGAAGTGGCACTCTGCGTCTCTTCCTCCAACTGAGCACAAGGGGCATTATTTGACTGTGACGTTCGACTACCCGTATTCTGTGGATTTGGAGCACCTAAAGAAGGCCTTTATTTTGTTTCTTCTTTTACTCATAGCCACCATTTCCACAGTCCTGTACCACTGGAAGCTGAGGTGAGGGGTGTCGTTTTCGTGCTTTCTTTTGCGTTCCAACGGATTCATGTATTGTTATAGGCTAGGGTCTGCGTTTAGGGAGACTTGCAGAGCTCGAGTAACTCGGTACAAATAGTAAATGGGCCTTTTATTTCTCATGTACTTGATATATTCCCCCCGTGTGTTGCCCAGATTCTCCAATACTACGGAGGAAGTACCAGCTGCAGCACAGTATGTCGCATTCGGCCGGTTGAAGAATGAGCTGATGCACAAAACTGAGGCAGCCATTTGTGAAGGGCGTAAGCACATGCTGAATTGGAGAGCCATTTTCTGTAGCGTTTTTATATAGGGACTGCATCTCCGGATCGCAAGGAATGGAAGTGAACAACAGAACTTAGCAACGGTTCGGTGTACAAAGAGTCTGCTCGTGCTCAGGTGTATATATGGAGTCAATGTCTGCCGCCAGGCGGGGGAATCCAGAGTCTAGCGAAAAGCAGAAGCGGGCGCACGAGCAGGAGGAACGTTGGCTGGAAAGTATGCGCCAGCATGAAGCTGATCTCATTGCTTCGTTAGAGGCGGCGCCTGGGACCAATGGGGCCAACTCATCCGTCGGCGTTTTTAAGAAGGCCTTGGAGAGACACCGAGAAGCCGTACTAGCGTTTACTACAGCCTTGCTCAACAACTGGAAGGTATGCAAACCATGAACAAAAGATCAGCAGCAACTTAACGACTGCGTGCGCCCTAGACTACAGAGTGGCCAAGTGGCAGGCAAGGCCCACCGACAAAGGCAGCTGCCCACGACTTCCTGCATTCTTAAAATTTCAGGAGTGACGATTCGCCTCCAGGTGTTGCCAGCTATTGCGTCAGGGTCTCACCGTATTTCTGGGTGGAGGCTGTGGATTTGGTGAAATTTTCTGCATAAGGAGTATCTGTAAAAGTGGGCATATGCTGGGTGGGAAGGGGAAGGATCTGTGTTCTCTCTGCTTAGGAGAAGACTGAAGAAGCTATCCAGGAAGTTGAAGCGTCCACAGAGCATCTGCGAGGGTTGGCCAGAGAATGGAAGGGTTCAAGTTTAAAGCAGCACGAGGCTTAACGCTCGGTTTTGTTGCTGCATTGATCTGCCGAGTGTGGTTTGATGGACTTGTGTGCATGCGTGCATACGTGCAGCATTGCACCACGGTGTCACTTGGAAAGCTGCCATGCCAATGCAACGGCCTTCACATGGTGCATCGATGCAAGCCGTATGCAGTTGGGGTAGTTGCGAACAAAGTTTGCACAATAGGGGCGCAAAAACAACTGGATGGATATTGATTTGTGCGTCACTTTTCTTCATGTTGAGTATTCCCTTCCCACAAGAGCGATGCGTAGGGCAGCAGCGCATAAGGGCCGCCCGTTTGGGAATTGAACAGCCTAAACACATAACTGTGGGCGGTGGGGGAAGCTTCAATGCATTTGCTTGAGTCTCACTAGCCTCAGCAACTCCCCGCACCTTCAGTGAAGAGGTTTTCTCCCTTAGTATGCCAGGAAGGCTGAAACAGACAACCAAATGGGGCTCATGCATCCGCAGTGGTAATGTAAACAGTACTACACATGCGGAACAAGACGAACAACTGAGAGCATTCACTTAAGCTGCATTTTGCCTATTGTGCAGAGCGACGGATTCCGTTTGCGGCGCTTGCTCTACATCGACATCAGGAGCTCCTGGGGTCCGTCGTCGTTGCCACGGCAGAAGCATGCGATCTCTGCGCCTCACAGACACGCAACTCACGGTGTTGCAGTGGCTTCCCTTGGTTAGAAAAGATAGAGTAGTTTCATGTACGATTAAATATGGCGGATAGTATGAGCAGGAGTCTTAGCATTACAATCGGGGTTAGCTGCGAAAACAAAGGGATGACTTCACCTGCCCAGATGCCGTCCTGGTTTCTTGAACAGCAGGGAATTCGTTTCCACCCAAAGCGCTGCTGTGTGAAGCAATGTTGCTGCTCGTGAGGTTAGCGGCTGCGGATGTCGCTGGGAGGATCTGCCTGTGAGTACATTGGTGGGACACCGAAGGATATGAATCACAACAGAACAATATTCCAGCTATGCGTTAGCAGGCAGCATTCCTGCTTTCTGCTACCAACTCACTTAATATTTTGGAGAGGGAAATCTCGCGACCAAAACAACTCGGCGAATTCCTTTCCAGAAGTGTTCAGCATATCGGACTGGTGGAGCCAAAGTCCATTCGCTTCGGCCACAGCCTGAGAAGAATGTATTATTTTGCAGTCGGCCAGCACTCTACCTCCTACCTTGCTATGCAATGTGCGTCCCTAGTGGAATCTTTGAGGCAAGCAATGTGCAGTCTTACACGAAGAGTTTGTAGGTACTGCATGCAGCAAGCCTGACTCCTTGCAGCGGCTGCGATACTACTCCAGACCGCGGTCACCTCCTGCGTATTAATCGCACGGACAGAACTGCACAATTTCAACTGTATTTGACCACGCCTTTCGAAGAAAAGATATTCTGTGCAATTTTGATTATTTCTAGGAGAAACAGAGCAGAATTGTGCTAAGTAATATCCAGAAATTTAAACGCGTATACAGCACGCATGCATGGTAGAAAAGCTCACTGTGTGTTTGGCCAGAATGCTGGCGATCACTCCACGGAGCTGACGCAACCTGTCTAAAGTATGTGAAAGCGACTGGTTCATCTGTGGTCCCGCCATGGCACGAATAAGCTGCTGCTCCACGAACGCCAAATCCTGACTCATTGTATGGAGCTGCAGAGCAGAGCCAGCAAATATTCAAGTGGACGTTTGAATACCAAGCGAAAATATGGGGGTTGCCTCAACTACATATCACATACCCTGCGTTCATGAGAGGCAATGGCGTGATCCATTGGTGACTGCGTAAAGTTAAGAAACCTTGTGGGGCCTGATCCACAATAAGAGCAGACAAATCTTCGAGCGTCCATGGGTCCAAGAATCACGTCGTCTAGCCGTTGTGCGTCACGCTCATGTATGTTTGTTTATGTGAGGAAGGCAGCAATCCTTACTCTAGGTGACTTGGTGGCGTGTGATCACGGTGCCTTGCCCCTTGCCTCGTGATGCACAAACAATATCCGTTGACCCCGCAAACCTGTAGGTGCAGAGTATCGCCAGGTACCTGTACGATCACGGCATACGAACTGAATCGAGCTGATATCTAAGAATCAGAGTGGGAAAGTAGCTGTAAGAAGTGTGAGGCCCGATTCCATTTGCAAGCCCATTGGTGGGGTTGTACACGCACTGACGGGCAGCAATCGCAAAAAGGATACAGCGGCAAAAAACCCCCCATGGCGTCTAAAAATGTGCGGTTTGGTTCCACTTGGAAAATCGATAAGATGCGGAGCATGCGAAGTATAGATCTAAACCTTCGGAGGTGCAACAACCGAGGGCGAGCATCTGAATGCACGCCTTGACGAGGAGGGTGTCTTGCAGATTCTCCCCGTTGATGAGAACTAGTTAAGGACTTAAAAGAGCCAAAATACTGTAAGTCTTACATATATCGAACGAAAAGCCGCCTTGGGCCGAAATTTATGCAGGAATCAACAACCGAGTGGGAGGGCGTCGCCAGCGGACCCGAGGCCCAGTGGCGGAATATCCGCTCTCCTCCACAAAAGGAGCTTCTATGTAGTATCAAATAAAATAGATTCAGTATAAAAAGGCAAAAACCCGCCGGATTTTGGGGAAAATGACCCCTACAGATCCGAGTGCCTGGAGGGGGACCCATGGAAGCACGGTGGGGTTGGAGCAGTGGGGCACTGCAGACCAGCGCAGCTGGTTGGTCTTGGTTTCTGTACTCGTTGTGCATATTAGTAGTGTCGAAAGGCTTCATATATATATAAAGCAAGCAAATATATTACATTGCTTTCCCTACAAAACGGCAGGGCAATTTGGCGGCCCCAATTTCCGCATCTTGGTCACCTTCAAGCACTTCTGAATGTTGGTCACCTTTGTGGGGTCGACGAGATACATGAAATGCACTGAAGCTTCACGTGGTTGTTTGAATGGCCAGATAGGTGTGTCACTGGAGCACTGACCGCATACTTGCGTTACTCCGGCCGTAAGTCTTGCAATCGTTCGATGTTAGCTGCAGAATTTGTACAGCATAATCAGTTCGATGCTGGCAAACCTGTCTGAAAATGAAGCATGAACCCTTACTTGGCCTTAGTAGGGAAGCTATACCCAAGCAGAAGTCGTCAACAAATGTCGACTGTGTTTGTGCATACGGCCAAGAAGGCTTGTTTGAACTTGGGTGTGGGGCTAGCTTGCACCACTACTTTCAAAAGGTGCGTTGCAACTCATGGAAGGCTGTTCCCGCTTCCGCATCTCCACGTTCTCGTACCACTGCGCTGAAGACCCCTCGAGACTGCTCAGGGAGGTCAGCTGCTTTACTGAAATCTGACGTATTTTGACAACGCTGCACCACGCGATAATCCTTGGATAGAATTGAGGTTTCCAGTTACATATAATTTAGGTAACGAGAGTCATATGCCTAAACACGGGTGCTCTGTGAGCTGCGGTATAGCCAACGATCTTCGAGGAAAATTCAGCAGGTGACCTCATCCACGCTACGCGTCTCCTGGTCCCAGTGTCACAAGGCTGAGAGCTGGTGACACGTGGAGGCGGCCTCAGTTGATACACTTCCTGCTGCAACTCCTTTTTCAAAACAACCCTAGATGCATACACATATTGACACCATTTCTATATTCTGCAATTGCCAATCATTCTGTGCGACCGCTACTCCGAATCCACTTTGTGCAGTAGCTGGACCCTAGAAGGTAATGCCTGCTCTACAGAGTGGCTCTCCACCCACCCTTTGGGATAGTACGGCGGCGCAGTGATAGCACGGGGTGCAACAGGCTTAGCCACTGGCGGTGAGCAGCGGCAACGGCACCACCTTAGCTCATTTTTCTCCCCTTCCTGCCTATAGTGCTTAGTTGAGCCTCCAGCGTCCAGTGAATTACATATCTGAAATTGCAGCGCGGAGTGATGCAGCGATTAAAACGTCTATCCATATCCTTCTGGCAGTCGTGGAATCTCTCGATTGCCAGGGTCTTAAAGTGTTCAGCGGCTTTTGCTGCGTACATTCCGGGCAAGGGGTGGCTTGTTTTACAAGGTACATTCTGGATGGACGCATGGTCGCCTGCCTCACTACTGTAACGCCTGCTCAGCGGAGTACACACTGTGTCTGGTAGCAACTGGAATCGCCGTTTGTGCTGCAACTATCCATGTGCTTGTTGTTGATATTCGCAATTACTGCTGCAGGGCGAGTGTACAAGGAGTAGGAAAATTCAATTCGAAAGGGACGCTCAGCCGTTGCAGATAAGCGCAGCGGCAGAACGCAGCGCTGAAGTAGAACACCTTGAGCTGGCAAGCAGCCCGTGAAGAAGCCTTTCATTACTAACGTCTTGGAAACTATGCTACCAGTCTGAGTACTGCAATGCCAGCCGTAAATGCATTGTGAACACTTCTTTACCCCGCGCCATACCGCCTAGAGTTTGTCTTCACCCACCGAATACTTCTGTTGTCTTTCCGAGAAACCTTGAATGTATGAGACAATTATTTGGACTTTCCTACTGCATTTGGCGAGTTGACTGCGCGCCAATGCAATCGCTATATCATGGTTGTCCAACTATAGGAGGAAAACTCCCTAAAGAATAGGGACCGCAGGAACTGCAGACGATGCCGGGCATCTGGCGGAGCTTCGGGGAGCTTTTCATTCACTCTCCGTGTAAATTAATTGTCTGCCCTTATTGGGTAAATCCGCTAGAAGGATGAACAAGTGCAAATTAAGGGGTGAAGCTGCGGCAGTACGATGCGGGACTGCAGATCAAGGTTTCCAAAAAGTACAGGAAGCGCGGCCTCGTCGGAGTAGTCTCTCCCTGTGGTAGAACAGGTCGCCTCCGGCTGCAGAGGTGGAAAAAGCCGAGAGCCGAATGGTTTGCATTGGAGAAAACGAACACTGTTGCAACTGCTGAGTAAAAAGCAGGGTTTTGAAAAATCAAGACGTGTTCTTCTCCAATTGTTTTGCGATAGAAGGGTTCCATGGAAGCCAAAAACACGTTGCAGAAGCTGCTAACGATGTTGCACAGCCCAATTGAGCTCACGCACGCCGCCTTTGCACGAAGCCACCCATGCGCCATTACTTGACCACAAGAAGGCGTGAATGGCTTGCATCTTCTGTTCGTACGTACAGTCATTAAACATGTGGTGCTACACTAACTGCAACTGGGATAATCAATATTTGAAGAAAGTGCAACAGAATCACTCGTTTAATATAAGATCTGTCAGAAACCATGAATCTTCCCAAACATCCAAGTGCCACAGCTGCATAGGGGCCTGAGCCTGAGTCTGGCGCGATAAGGACTCTCATGAGTTTTGTAGCATTCTGAAAATAACGGACGTCGTGTACCATAATAGTCAATCAACGATTATGGACATGCGCGATTGCCATACAGTACATAAGATATGAGTCCTTGACAAGCAGCTAGCCTCCCTCGCCAATCTTAAGGGCTCATGGGCGGGGCGGCCCAAGCGCCCGGAGCTGTGGGACAGGAAACGGTCTGCCATGAGCTGAAGTGAACCTTGATAGAACTAATTGCGGTAGGCAGTCTTACACGCAAGCATAAACAAGCCTTCTTCCCCGCGTGCACTTACCAATGCTTAAAATTACTGAAATTGGTGATTGCGAGCCACTTTCGCACTACAGCTGTCTAAGGGTTAATGTACCGTTGCATACAAGGGCGACTAATGGTTGATGCCCCGTTGCCTTCTAAGGCCGAACGGATGATTACGTGTCACCTTTGGGCAGCCCTGTTGAAGTCGGTCAGTCTGGACTGCATGCCCTGGTGCAAGACCATAAACAAGCATAGTTTGGCACCCCTTGCACGAGGCGCTAGCACTGTAAGCAATTGCCAAACACATACTTGACCCTTACCTGCAAGCCTGCACTCAAGTAGAAATACACGTAGCAACATAAGACAGACAGGGCTGCAAACAACAAGTGGACGAAGATCCAGTGGACGAAACGGAACCTACGCTTGCCATAATGGTCAAAAGGGCAAGGAAATAGGAAGTGTATTTATCCGAGTCCAGGCACATGCTTTAATTTGCTAATAAAAGTCTGCGAGACCGCATTGGAGTGCTCCGCTTGGAGAGGATGTAGAGAAGACCGCCCAACCACTACGCCTTTTGGGTGCTATACTTTTATGACGTGGAATGGGATGTAGAGAGCAATGAATTATCTAGAAGAGTAAGGGTGGTAGAGACTAAAATCCGATATTAAGTTGAGCAGCCTCCAAAGTTTGCGATGAGCGTCGGGGGCTGCGAGCAACCCCTCCCCTGAATGCTTGCACTGGCCGAGTTGTGCCTGTCTCGGATAAGGCGATCGAAAGTCCTCTAGAAATAGCTCGTGCCATTTCGTACACAATAAATATACGCCCATCAGTATCCGCCAGAGTCTGGTTTGCATCAAGAGGCGCCGCTTCCAGTCTCCCCCGCACGCGCCGACCTTTCGCCAACAGTGCACTCAGTGCTCTCGAGAGCTTCGTAGGCGAAGAAAGGCCAGCTCCAGACAAAATGGCGGGGAAAGTGGACAAGACAAAGAAGCTGGAGCCTGTGCCCAAGCCTGATGAGAAGCTCTACAGGGACCGCATCCAAGCCGAGACAGCGGCCATTGATGAATTGAAGACAAAAATCGTACGCCGGGAACCGTTTTCGTAGAGTCCTGCCGCATTCTGCGTTATTTACCCCTCTCGTGTGTGCTGCTAGCGCACTCGGGCAGCCGTTAAACGTGTGAATCTACTCACCACTTGAGCTCCGCAGAAGCTGTAGCCGGGAGGCGAATGGAGCTAAACACCAGCTGTGCTAACTTTGTAGGGCATGCAGATTTATGTTGGTCTGTGCAATAATGAAGTGGATTGAGTGGGCCTTGGCGTGTAGGTGTTACCCTGATGCCAGTGTACCGTACCATTTTCCAGGGCGCGCATGCACGCACCGCCCGGGTATGTTTGTGCTACTCGTATATAAAACTTCCAGTACTTGATCAGTAGTGCGACCTCGAACTCTGTGAAGGCGCCTCATCCTTTTTGGAGCAGCGTTCTTTCTCAAGTGTTATGCTTGAGAAACTTTCAGACTTAAGGGGAGGTGCAAGTGTGACTTCGCCTGTACATGCAGAGTGAGCTCCAGCAGAAGATATCTGCAGTCATTGGCGGCCGGGAGGAATACAACATGGAAAAGCAAAACCGGCAAGCCCGCCTTGACGCTCTACAGGTAAACGCCAAACCCTCCGCACTCAATATCTGTAACTGAAGGCCGCAAGATCGCGTGGAGCGGCACACTTCTTCTGCTGCAAGATATGCCTGCGTTTGCATCAGAAGGAAATCGACCAGCTAGAGGAAAAGCGAAAGGTCTTATTTGAAAAGATTCAATTGAAACAGAAGGAGGGCAATGATTTGGTGAGGCTTCCCCGGCTTCTGTCGTGCTGTTGTGCAGACGTGTTACGTTCATTCACAAGGTGTGTGCCGCTTATTTTAATCTGCTGCGAGAAATTATTTGCATTTGCTCGAATACTGCCTTATTGTGCTTGTGTCAGAAACAATCAGCAACGGATCTGCGGCGTAAAATTGGCTTCTCTTCGTTGGAAGACATTGACCAAAAGGTTGCTGCGTTAGAGCATAAAATGATGACATCAACAATTTCTCTCAAGGAAGAGAAACAACTTCTGGAAGAAATCAAGCGGTTGAAGAACAGCAAGCCTCTGCTGACGAAGTATCAAGCCCTGGAACAGAGTGCAAGTAGTTTGGAAGACTCTTCCGTGGGTACGTGGTGTATCCCAAGTTGACATTGGCATCTTCCTGCGTTTTTCTTATTGCAGAATGCCCATGCTGAAGAGTAACGCTGCGCATTGCTGCTTTTTCAGTTCCCTTGAGACAAATGCTCGATGAAGTCCGCACTAAGCTTCTAGAGCTCCGCACTCAGAAGCGGGAGGAGAGCCAAAAGTACAAAGAGCTTCTGGAGAAGAGGTGCGTGATGCAGTGCTCATTACACTGAAGACTTCTGCCACCGTCTGTAGCGTGCGTATTGCTGGCTTTCTCTCTATTGCATGCTACATTTTATGGACACGATATTGCATTCTGCTTGCTGCTCTGCACAGGCAGAAAGCAACTGCGCCTGGCCGTGAAATGATAGAAGAACGGGACCGCCTATCTGCAGAGATGAGCAAACACTTTGCAAATGTACGTACCGAGTCGGTACTAGACCCCCAGAACATCATCGTTTGTGATTTTTTCGGTCCGACTAAAGCTTGATAGTGTCCGTGGGCAACGGAGTGTTTATGCTGAACTAGTCGTTTTGTTGTCGTTTTGTCTTGCTGTTGTCTTGTGCAGAGACGCGAGATTCAAGCTGAATTGACCCGCGAGGTAATCGTCAACGAGGTTTTCTGGGTTGGGTTGCAACCTAAGCTTGTTCTTCTATTGCGCAGGGTCTTTCTAGCGGCACTGCAGCTGTAGCGGGAGTATGTGCCCTGAGTCTGTTCAACGGTGTCTTTTTTTCTCTTCTCAGATGCAAAAGCATCAAGCGTACATGCAGCAAGTGAAGCGCGAAAGGGGACTGAAGGTAAGCTAAGCGATGTGCAGCTCATCTCACATGGACTTCATACTACCACCACCAAGCAGACTGATTCCGGCCTCAGATGAAATGGGCAGGTAGTTATTTCATACGAGGCAGGAATCAGTCTGCATGTGACTGGTGTGCACATTTTGTAGATGCGGGAGGAACGGGAGAGGCGCAACTTGGAGAACGAGCGTTATCAACTTACACGGGATTTGGAACGCGTAGAGTCCGAGCTGCCCTACGAGGCAGAGTGCTTGCTTCTCTCCCAGACCATCCAGTACTTGCAGAAGATAATCGAGGAGCCGGCGGCCAATGGCGTTGAAAAGGAACAGGCAGAACCGGCGGTGGATGAAAATGTAAACTACAGAATTTTTTTTTTGCGTACACGGTTGTACAGTGGCTCTATAGTTGAATAGTTAATACGCCATATAATTTGGTAGTTAGCCTGGCACACTGGTGGGTCGCGATTCTTACTATGCTTATGGTGCGACATTCTGCAGCTTGCGGGTGCCCTTCTGCCGAAGAGCCAGCGCAAGGAGGTCTATTTCTACGCCCCTAAGACGAAGGGTAAACACGGGAAGGACCATGAGAAGAAGAAGGAGAAACCCAAGACGCTGAAATATGATGTTGGCACCTTAGCCTACTTCGAACAATGTGGCGTAAGCGCGTTCGGCATTTCTGAAGCATGTTTTGATGCTTTTATTCGTCTGTAGTGGTGAGAACGCCATCATTTGTGCCTTCGGATGTCCATTCAGCTAACGGCGCCAGTTTTGATTGAAGATGTACCTGCCTGCCTGGATAAACTAGAGGCGAAGCTGCAGAACTACAAGAACTTGCAGCGTGAGAGTGCTCAAAAGGTCAGTCCCTGCTGTTTTGCTTAGCCGTCAGATCACGTGTTCTGTATGCTGTATTCGCCTATCGGAGTGGCGTTACTCGTAATTCCTTAGGAATTGCCCATTCTTGTTCTGTTTAGGTTGATGAGCGCAAGGCGGAAATCATGGCGAAAATCCAAACAGTGAATGATAAGATTGCGAATCTCATTAGGAAGGGGGAGAAGTTGCAGGATGATCGAGACGGTGAAACTGCGGAAGACGGGTCCCCCACTGCGGAGGAAGCAGATGACGAATGAGCAGATGTTCGCACGTCTCTCTGCGGGCGGTTGCTTGATCGTAGTGCCCTTAACCCTCAGAACGTTCACTTCCCGCTCTTCACGCCACAAGTCGCCTGCCACTTGAGGCAGCTGTGTGGTCTTTTAGGTTATGTTTCTGTGGTGGAGACGCCGGAGAGTTTTGGTGGATTATGCGCTTCTCTTACAATTTGTGCCCTAGTGCATGGTTGCAGCTCGCGTCAACTTCTTCTCTGTTGGTTCGGGGGCAGCGAAAGAAGCAAACGCAATGCGGACAACTTGCCGATGCTTTGTCATCAGCCCCTCTCTTGGCCCAACCGGGCGTAGCAGCCTTGGACATTTGGGTTTTTAGAGCTCGCCAGCGAGTTCACTACTTGCCGCTTCGGCCATCGGCGCACTTTCCAGTGTTAGTGCTGACTAGCCTGCCGTTGTTCGAGAACGGATGGAGTGACATCCAATAGGGAGTTTCTTGCTGCACGGAGTAACACGTCATGAGCTGCCGGCAGTCGGCAGTGATTGAGTAAAGTAGACACTGGTTTCGTAGTTGTGAGGTAGCATTGTCCTGCCCTGCACGCCTTAGGCTGATACGTTGTGTTGTCCGCGCATTGCGGGTGCTCCTTACATTCTATAATTTTGCAGACGCCGAAGGCGAACTCGCGTTGACTGCCCTACTAATGGGTGCGCATAATGAGGCGAGCGAGGGACCAACAAAATCTTTACTTTCCAGGCTTCACTGTACCATTACGCCTGCTTATGTGGAGATAAATGGGTTCATACGGCGACATCAAAAACGTCCGGTGACCCGGAATCGAACCAGGGACCAACAGATTACCGCAGCTTCTACAGTCTGCCGCTCTACCAACTGAGCTATCACCGGTGGGAGGAATCCTACGATGCAGGAACTAGATGAGCGAATAATTCTGTAATATAATAATAACTAATACATTATTGACCACATCCTGCTGCTTTTAACGAAACATTAGTCTCTGTAGGTTGCAAGAGGGCTGGAGCTTTGTCCTTCCAACGCAGCTTTGCAAAAGGCCATCCGATTCCTGTGTGCTGTAGCGGGGGAAGGTACGGCATGGAGCAGGAAAGTAAAGTTGGTCTCAAAAATATTACTTACTAACAATTACACAGTGCATAAATAATAATGGCAGTTGGTTTCCCGTGATTGTAAGCTGTTCAGATAATGTGTCTAAACAGCGGCCTTGTCTCGGAGTTTCTCAGCACCATCTGACCCCGCAGGACGAACCCCATTCATTTTCGCTCCAGAATCTCGCATAAATAGAAAGCTACCATTGTTTTTCATTGGCCATTAAAAATAACGTGCTCACAGCACTGCTTGGCAGGTGCTGAACACCTCGTGCTCCGCCGTGCACGTGAACACTTTGAACTTCATGCCGAGGTTGTAAGGGCTTCATTGCACATTGATGCGAGTCTGAGGCGGCCTCAAGTGTACATTCTGCTTTCATCTGTGTTTATGGGAATCACCTGCCAGATGCTCTAACATACTACTGGGTGGCGGCTGGATACCGCCATTCGGCTTCGTTACTACATAGATCATACATAGATTAGCGTAAGCAGGACGATGACTGAAAGCGAAAACCCAGCACACGAGTGCTCATCCTCATTGGCAGCTGAGGCTGAAGATGTGTACCGCCAACGGCAGCAGCTGGAGCAAAGGATGGAGGCGCTTGCTAGCTTCCTAACGTCCGAAGGTAAGTGCTACTAACCGAAGCAGCTTGGTTGCCTTTGTTGTCGCCTGGTGGGCAATGACTACAGCATCGCAGACAGACAGTAGGCAATGAAGGGAGCTGGAAAAAGCAAGTATTCATTCATTCGTTTCATCCATCCAGAGTCAGCACTGACAATAATGAGAGTTACGCCCTGTGTGGTGAGGCGGATGCAGCCAATGCATCGGACAATATCGGCCGTTTTTGTCTTGCTTGGTGGGGCGCATGCTCAGGTATGCCTGGCCTACATGGCCCACTCGTAGACGAAGAAGGTTTCCCTCGAGCTGACATTGACGTGCATTCAGTGAGGGAAGCACGCCACAAGCTTGCCTGCCTCAAGACGGACTACCGCGAGCTCCAGCGGCGGCTTGAAGATATTCTCCTCCGACTCCATGCGGATCGTGTCAGGACAAATGCTGATGAATTGCAAGGCGTCGTCCCTGGCGACCAAAGCCCAACAGGGCCAGTACCCCCAAAGAAGAAGGAGCAGCCTCCCCGATTACTTGAAGGCAAGATAATTACCTTTACCCAAAATTGGGCTTCATTTACTTTTGAACTTCACTGCGTTCATTATGGGAGTTTATCCAGCAGCACTAGGCTTGTGATGAACAGCGTACAACTTTGTTGGTACCCGTTGAAAGAGGCTACCCATACTACTTGTCTGGTGTGGTCGTGCGTTGCAGATGAGGGGCCCGCATTCGCTGTGGTAGACGTGGTTCACCCAGGGAGCCCCAGCAGCACTGCAGGAATTGTTGCTGGAGACAGACTGCTACGGCTGGGTTCGCTGCGTTTGGTGCCGAGCCATAGTCGCCTAGACGAGCGGGTGGGGGGCGCTTTTAAGGGCGTCGCTGCGAATACGAACGCACAAACGCGACCTGTAACTGTAACTGAAATATTTCAGCTGCTTCCGGAAGAGGTAGCGAGTCACGAGAACGAGCGAATAGCCGTTGTGTTGCAACGAGGGGGTCGTATCCTCCCGCTGTGGCTTATTCCGAGGCGCTGGCAAGGCAAGGGCCTTCTTGGATGCCATTTGAAGCCTCTTCAACTAAGCTGATTGCGTTGGCCCCCACCCATGAAAAGTAAATATCACTTGTGCCGGTCTTCTAGCAGAGGCGGACGAACCTCGACCATTCAAAATCATCTAGATCATATCTGAACCGTAAAGTAGGGACAAGAACGATTTATGAGGGTGTTGGAAGCGCATGAGGTGTATTCGATATCTGCTGTAAGCAAATGCCACAGGTAGTACATTGGCAACGGCTAAATAGAACGTACTAGACTCCTTGGTGGAGGCGCTGATGAGGCGACTTTCTTGAGGAAAGGTGGAAGGAGTGTAGTTGAAACGGCATGAGCTCATCTGATACGAGGCCTCTTCTGGTACTTACGCCGTACTCTCACCCCAACCCCCATCCCCCGTTCTACTTCTGTATGTAGAAGTAGACCTGTGCCCGTTTCACGCGCATTTACTGTTGCTGGAGCCTGTGCAGCAGTCTCCTTGGAGACTACTGAACTGTTCATGCTGACAGTCATAGGCTGCATTGCCTAAGACAAAAGTGAAGGTAGTTGGGCGCACGCATCTTGATAAATGAGCATCTCAAGTTCAGTTCGAGTTATGTCTGCAGACCCTGTTGTATCTCCTACTTATATTGTTTTGCACTTCATGCACTTGCTGTTGATGGGCGGTGGCAAGCTGTGGGTAGCCACAAAGGGTATGAGGTTTAGAGTTTAGGGTACTCACTTGGTGGGTAGGGGCTTGGGTAGAGTGATCGGGACAAGAGTCCCGCATCTGTGCAGAGTTGTTGTTCACTACATGGCTGAGCAGGAGGAGGGTAGTTAGGTGGGCGACCAAGACTAACAGTGCCATATTTTTCTTCGTAATTGCAGCTCATGCGAGCATAGTGCCCCTCACAATTCGTCCTTTATTGAATGCCTCGATGTTCTTACCTATTTCCGCCCAGTGGTGGCAATTCCACATATCACGTCGTCTGGTGAAGAGCATCTTACGACCTACGATCACAACTATGACGGTCTCATATTTTATTCACAGCAAGTGGGGTATGGTGCGTTATACACCATTGACACTGCAAATGTTTTACTGCAGATTTCACATGAGGTAGATCAGCATCAGCACCCTGGTTTCGTATCAGCAACAAATAGCATGTCCCTCGTGTAGTCCTCTCACACGGAACAACTAACGCGTAAAAGATACTAGTTGTTCGAGCAATGTTTTTAGCTTGAGAAGTAGGAGGATTTCACGAAGTAAGTGAGCTGAGTGCGTACGCGACACCCATGCTTCTGTGAGCAATGCCAGGACCACTGTAAGAGCGAATCCGACCGTCTGACGCGCATGCGTCAACTTCAATAACTTTTCATGGAAAACCAGCAGCAATTTCGTTCTATCAATTTGTTTAACTTAGAAGGTGAGGGGAGTGTACTATACTATATCATATCGTAGTGCCGGGCTTCCTAAGTACAACCTCTATCTACCGAGGTCTCCAGAAGCCTATGCTGCAAGTACCAAATCATGTTAGAGTCCCTATTATTAACAAGGCAAGTACATAGAATAAAAGAACTGTGTTCCGATTTTACCCCGGTCATGGCTCGGTGTCAGTGCCCACCCTAGACGATGACGGGGGGATATCAACGGTGGTGGAACGGTCAGGAGCCCGACCTAGAACTCCACCAAAGGCGTAATTATAGACATAATATTCCTAGATAGTAATAATTATATTTCCTATCCAATTAGATCTCTAAAGGAGCCTACCTGGTAACCAAGTAGTGACTGGGTAGTACGCCACGCTACCGATAGTGGTCGCCGGCGGGAGTAATCCAATTAACCTATGGCTCCACCTACGGTACTCGATTCTTAGAACATTTAGAAGTATTAATTCCCTTTCTTAGTTGTTAATGTCATAATCCTTCTATTTATGGTGACTGAGCTGCTTGAGATCATTCCAGAGCCGCATTGTAGTGCCTGTGCACAACCCAACGCCTGGGGCTGTGGGTGTCTGACGTTCGATCAGAGATGCTCAACACTTTGATAGAAGCACTCAATGTCAGAAGCCATTGTTGTATATTTGAGTCGTTTCGCTGGTGATCTGTTGTTGCAGCTCCCCTTCTGTATCCACGTTTACTTTATGACAGGGAGGCGAATATGTGTTTCCGAGTAACGTGCAGCATCTGCGGAAAACAGACTTGGAAAGTCTACACTTGATGGCTTGCAAAATCCGCTCTGCTGTCATACGTCAATAAGCACTCCCATTTTACACTAAATAACCTTGAGCTTCCATCCCTGATTCCCCTGCAGCACGTGATACGTAGCTAGCGCGTTGTAGGGGGCATGTGTACCAGTAGCAAGCAACGGATCTGCGTCGTCAACCGAGACGATAAGCACCTTAAACGATTCATTGGTTAAAGTATGCCCGCATTAAAACACCGGGAAAGGGAGGAGGCTGAAATTTTCTGCATGAATTGGTGTCCGACTGCCTCATTTGTGCAGGCAAGGCTGTGGTAACCACATTGACGCATGCTTGGAAGGCGTGCCCATGGAACAGCGTTGTGATTGCGGAGGAAGGGCTAAGACGCAAGAGGAACTCTCAGGGAGTTGAAAGAGCTTCCCGTGAAAGGCGAGCCCCGTTTTCTTCTTCCTTGGTGCGTTCCAGCAGACGTGCTATGTCTTGAGAGAAGACCGCCTTCTGCACTTGTGATCCGAGCACCACAGCCAACATCAGCTTTCCACGTACAGGATATGCATATCAGCAGTGCGTATATTCTCCAGTTTATGCGCATGCCCCCCGCCAGAAGTTTCACTCTGCATGCATGTGTTGCAGCACGCAGATACGGCTAGTTTTCCCTTGCTGCGAGCAACAAAATGCATAAACACTTCACTCTCTACCGTCACTGACAACAACAGATCGAAAAACAGCTGCGATGCTGTTTACCGACGGGCCAGTTTTACCTCTTCTTAGCTTGCCAGTTGCTAGGTACTGCATGCAGCGGCGGTAGATGACAAAAGCAAGTTCCTACTGTAGTCAGCAGCGACCGCAGTGCTTAGCAATGCCGTTCTCACCCCCTTATCTTGCATGAGTTGGTATAATAAGTGGTGGCAGAGCGGGTGAGAAGAAGGGGTTGGAGGGTTGTAATGTCTAACTGGAAGCACTTAACAGCATCTTTTGATGTGTGTAGGCTGGTTATTTGCATGGTAGCAGCAACTGAACAGACATTTTAGACGTTTCTGAGTCGTAATATACCATCAAGTCACACGGATAATTCCGCTGGAGATTCAGGCATGCGGCTGATTGACAGATCTTCTTTTGGGGCATATGGACTACTATGAGACTAGTACCATGGAGGGGCATATCAACTAGAGGGTTATTATATCCTTTTTCTCAGCAAGCGGCTCCATTTACCTGTCACTGCCCGACTTCCGTGTGGAGGCAAAGGCGATGACGAACACTAAACAAGTATCTACCCTTCTTATTTGACAGCTTCCATTTGTATGGCTTGTATACCACAGTAATGTAATAGTAGAAACAATAATAAGCACCCTGGCGATAAGAGACCCCACGTCACCGGCTTTGGTAAAATAATATCCAGGGTGTGTTGGCTCCAATGCAATTCACGGCAGTCACTGATTAAAACCGACGACGTCGTCATAAATCTATAGTAAGTACGCACGTACTATTTATTAGGTTTTATATGTTTTTGAGGTTTTATATATTTTGGAGGTCATATTGTACCGTACATCGGGAGATATGATGGGTAAAGTTATATGCTTCAGATATACAGCAAGCCAAGTCCAATTTATAGAATTGGACTGTCGCTGTGGATGCGACAGGGGAGTGGAGTCTACCGTGCGTTGCAGGAGGCCCCGGACAGCGGCGCAAAACCAGCTTAATGAGCCTACTTGTCATTAGTATAAACTTATAAACATGTTTAGTATATATGTAGTGTTGTATCCTCATAATGTTGTGAATGTGTCGTGGTAGTGGTGGTGCTTTTCCCACCTTGTTTTTGCCGAGACTGGAACGGAGCACTCGGTGGAGAAGCAACCACTAACTTTCTAGCTGGAGCTTCTAAGAATAAAGCACAACCCTTCTAGAAAGCAGTGAATATTTGATAGGTTTCTCCAGTTTTCCTCTCCTTCAAGGAAGCTGACAATGCAATGTTGGTGGTTACTGTGCATGCTTGCTTCCGGTTTCTGTTACTGCTACAGCTAGCCGCCTGCGATCCACCAGCATCTGTCCTGGGGAAGCATGCATTGCAGACTCGAAATACAGCTCACATTCTGTCAATTTTCAAAGGTATTTGGTCATTAAATCAAGGTTTTTCACTGAATACAGGTAATTCCCCCTTACATCCATCCTTCAGTGTGTCGCATCTGCGTCGAATCGTCGTCGGTATCGAGACTGTTTGCAGAGGAATCTCCCGGGAAACACGGTTGTAGGGAAGCCAGTCTAGTGTAATTACAGCGTATTTCCCATTAATAACTACTGCAAGAGAGGCTTGTAGCCTTGGAGAGGGCAGTTGCACAATACCACTCTATCGCGCATCAACACCCGAGTCAACAATGCAGCACGACACTCCCCGTTCTCAAGTTTTTAGTGGGCCAGAAGGTGCCTACGACTCCTTCGCAGCTGTTGGTGAGTCTATTCAAGCCATTAAGAACTGTTGGTTGCCTTCTTTGTATTTCGTAACATCGTTGTCGTTGCTCGAGATCACGTCGGGGGAAGGTTTACTCAGGGGGTGGCGGCACATGCAGCTTGTCACGACAATACCAGCAGTTTTTGTTGAATTCTCCTAGTTGCTTTCGCTGACATCTTGTATTTCTGTATATTAGTTGCCTGTTAGAGCTGCCTGGTATGTACCGTGCAGACTTGTTTTTTCCGCACATGTAAGTAGCACAGTATCGAGAAACGTGTACATGCGTGCGTGCGCCTTTTTATGCACAGGAGGGGAGAACGTGTTTTCGCGCATCTTCAGCAAGTTGTCGTCTGCTGTTGGTGTGCCTCTGGGTTTCTTCCAAAGCCGGCCTGAGATCCGCACATGGGGAGCACAAGAGCTGCAGGATCCGTCAGTACAGCCGAGGCCTCAAGGTGCACCTCGCGATTACGGAACACCCCTTCCAGGATACCCTAAGCCGAGCTGCAGTTATTTTACGAATACTATCGGCAGCAGCAGCTCACCCTCCAAGAAGGCAGACATAAGAAATCCCCCGCAATTCGTCAGCCTCTTTAACCACCTCGGTATTCGTGATGATGCACTTATTGGACCAAGAATCACTACAGGGCCCCCTATGTGCAATGTTGAATACCCTAAGATTCCTGCAGATAAACTAGGGGAGCCTACTTATGACTACCGCGATCTTCTTGGTTACCGTATGGACTACCACCCATATGTAGTAGGCAGTCCTGCACTAAATATACACTGACACTACCATGTGTCACCATTCACCTACACCTCTACATAATAATATGTTGTCTTTTTTATTATTCTGTTAAATAAAACTGATTAACATTATTATATATCTGCAAAATAATCCTCGGCTATGCAGTACGATGTTAATGGTGCTTTGTTTAGTATTGGTGCCTTCCGGTGCATTTTTCTGCTTATCTTTGTTGTTGGATGGGGAAGAAGTTTTTTTTTTATGGTTTCTGCTGCTGCTGCTGCATCTGGTTGTTTGTTTGTTTGATTTACTTCCCTTGCTGCAGAATGCAACAATGACCGCACAAGACGCCACCCGCATGCACGTGCATGCCAATTGGTTATTGGGCTATCCTTACGGTGTTCCTGCAGTAGAGGAGAATGAGAAATGGAAACCAACACCCGTCGTCCCCAATACCAGACCGAGCATCTTTTCGTGTTTAGGCTGTTAAGAGGTTATTATATATTATGCATGCATATAACTGTGCATGCATAGTATAATATATGGATGGATTAGCTACATGCATAGTGCACAATATATATACCACGCATTATGCATGCATGCATGCATGCATGCATGTATGCATGCATGCGTAAGGAAACACTTATGGGTGTTGTAGTCACCACGGAAATAATACACGTTCGTGTCCGTGCATCTGATGATGACTGTAGGCAGCTAGCTGCAGCTGGAGGTGTCGATACACCTGATGTAAACAGCTAGATTCTACCATGGCTATTCAAATATGCAGCAGCCTATATATATATATATATATTATAT